TGAGATATAAACTCAGAATTATGAGATATACACTCAGAATTATAATATATACACTCAGAATTATGAGATATACACTCAGAATGATAAGATATACACTCAGAATTATGAGATATACACTCAGAATTATGATATATAAACTCAGAATTATAAGATATACACTCAGAATTATGAGATATACACTCAGAATTATAAGATATACACTCAGAATTATGAGAAATAAACTCAGAATTGTGAGATATAAATGAAGAATTTTGAGACAGAAAGATTTAAACTCACAATTGCCAAATATAAACTAATAATTCTGGGGGGAAAAGCTGGGATAAAAAGTCACAATTAGCTTTTTTCATTTTTTTTTTTCCTGTGGCAAAAAAAAGAAGAAAAAACAAAAGGATTCTGAGTTTGTATCCTGCAATTCTTCTCAGAATTGAAAGTTTATGTCTTGCAGTTCCGAGTTTATATATCTAAATTCTGGCATTTTTTCTCAGAATTCTCAGAATTCTAAATAATAATCTCTAAATTCCGATATAAAAAGTTGCATTTTTTTTTTAAATCCCAGAAATGGGCTTTTGTAGACTTCAGCAAAAGTCTCCCTTGGCAGAAATAATCGAGACATTAAAGAGATCTGATCTGTGTTTTTTTTTTTGTTGTTGTTTTTTTGATGTGGATGTAGCTGCGTTGGGTTTAGTCTGTGCTACCTTTGTAGGGATGTTGGTTTTACTATCGAGTGAGTGAGTGAGTGAGTGAGTGAATGAACCCTGCTGTGGTCATATGACTAAATAAACAGATCTGCTGCCCAACCTCCTCTCCGTCTCTCTCCGTCTGAGACCCTGGAGACTCGAGCTTTAGCTCCATCCCTCCCTCCAGCAGTTGTATGAGCGAGCGCTACAAAACCAGAGATCACAGACGAGAGAGGCAGACAGCGAGAACTTAGCAAGAACTCAGGCTTTTCCTAGACATGCTTTTGCTCTGACGTCCAGGCATCTGCTGAAGGTAAGAGACGTGATCGGTTTCAAGCGCACAGCTTTCGGTTCTGTCTGCTCTCCTGGAAGTTTTGCTTCATGAGGTTTTGGAAAAATCTCTTGAAATCTCTTAGTTTCTTGGCAAACAGCTTCCAGGAGAAAGAAAGTAGCAGTCCAGAAGTTAGGTGGTTTTGATCTTAGACCGAACTTTGTTTGTAGAACTTCAGCTCATTTGTAACCCTTTTAGAAAGTTCTCGCACGTTCTGTCACTAGGATGCTTGTTTTCATCCAGATGTTGGCGATGATAGACAGCCATTAGAGGTTTTGTGGGATTTATCTCATGCGAGAGATGCCGTATCTCCTTTCTGTGAGCTTTTGTGTAGGAAGGGCCGATTTCTGCTGTTTGTCTGTGTCGCATCTGAAGGAGAATGCGCTGAATTCCGCGAGAGCAAACGAATCTGTGGTTTACAGTGTGTGTTTGAGCACCTTTACACACGGTGGAGACTGTAGAGGTGTTTGTTTTCTCGTTTGGCGAGACGTGTGTTGTAATGCAGTGCTTATGGTTTGTTTGAACGCTTCTCCTGTCATTGAAACTCTCGCTGTGTTTGTGTCATATAACAGCATTTAAAGGCAGACAGCATTCCAAAATCCAGTTGTTTATGTTCGTAACTTTTATCATTCACTGCTTACAAACATTGTGATAAAAGCATAAATTGAATGTCACATAGTTTAGATCACTATGACAAGCCTTTGTCCAAAAAATATGCTCTAAAAGATGCACGGAAAGCTATGTATATATATTTATATATATGTGTGTGTGTTGCATAGTACATAAAATTATATATTTTATGGTAAATAAATATATAAATATATTATATAAAATTATATATTTATGTATATATATA